TGACATGGGAGGGAGCCAAGATCAGCAGGACCTCCAAGTTGACCACTAGCTGACTCCAGACGCATGAGCAACAAACTTTTGTTACATGCTACTTAGGTTCTGTGGTTGTTGGCTATTCAGCAAAAGCCAACTGATACAGGGCCCACCAAACCAGGCCAAGGCAATATGTACCATGGTAACTAGATTCAAGAAATTTCAGGAGAGACATAACCATCTGTGGTGAACATGCCCTAGGGTGGCCCCCAGGATTCCCACTCGCCCAAAGTATTCATGACTTTGTGTAATTCTCACCTCTTGAGTGTACGCAAGACCTGTGACCTGCTTCTAACCAACATAAAATGGCAAAGGACAAAGGCTTATCACCTTTATTGCTCCTGTGATTATATTGCATTATATGGCAAAGGTGAAGGTGAAGGGAGTTTGCAGGTGTAATTAGGGTCCCTAATCAGTTGACTTGAGTTAACCAAAAGGGAGATTATTCTGGGTGGGTCTGACCTAATCAAGTGAGCCCTTCAAAGGTGGGTTTAGAGGTGAGAGACTTGAAGTAGAAAAATCTCTCTCCCTCCCTTGATGGCACCGAAGAAGCAAGCTTTCAAGAATTCCACAAACATAAAACAAAGTCTGCCAATAAACTGAAGGAGTTAGGAAGTGAATTCTCCCTTAGTTGAGCCTCTAGAATGTGGCCCACCCAACACCTGGATTTCAGCCTTGTGAGGCCCTAAGAAGAGGGTCAACTGTGCCGAGAGTCCTGACCCATGGAAACTGAAATAACAAATGGGTGTTGTTTTAAGCTACTAAATTTTGGGAAATTGGTTTCACAACATAGAAAACTGCTATTATTTTTCCTGAATCAAGCAAAACTGATTTCAGAGAAATATAACATTCTTGACATGCACCAAGAACCATCCTTTTGGTATACAATAACTCCAAATGTTTTCTTTTTCTGGTTATATCAGTCACTCATCAACAGACATTGCTTCTATTGGTCCTCTATGTGTTTTCAGAGAACCTTCTCTTGGTGTTTTTGAGTCTGACACAATACTGATCAATCCCAGTTTGCTTTTTGCATGAATCATGCCTCCGTTTTCTACCTGCTCTTCTCAGAACTTCATGTCTCCTTTTCTCTGATTGCCTTGGAATTTCTGACCATCTCTTCCATTTCATCTTCTTCAAGTTTGATACAACCTCTGGTTTGGTTTACCCAGTGCTCTATAATATTCATCACACAACATTGAGGAAGTCATTCTTAAGTGAAGATAAAAAGAGGTTAATTATACTTTCTTCCTTTTGTTGTGTTTTCCCTTCCATGCTATAGAGTATGAGGGTCAGTGAGTTATGGTCTCAGTATTTAGAATGTAATCATGTAGATGTTATACATTTGCCTTGCTTTGAATCAGGCTTTCTCAATCTCAACATTACTGACAGTTTGGGCCAGTCTTTTGTTATTGAGGGATTTCCTGTCCATTGTGGAATATTCCTCATCATCCCTGGCTTCTACCCACTAGATGCCAATAGCACGCTTCCCTCAGGTTTTGACAACCAAAACTGCCACCAAACATTGCCAAATGTCCCCTAGGGGGCAACGCTGCCCCCAGATGAGAATCATAACTTAAATGAAGGAGTGACTATTTCGCATGGAATTAGTGATTAGAGGTTAATTTGTGTTTCAGGTTTATGGAAAAGCACAATAAAGTTTTGAAAATTTTACTGGACTTTAATTCCATGGTAAAATTATGGTATATGTATCTAAGATCAGTGAAATATAAACTCATACAGCTGGAAAACATGTTTAAAAAATCATGTCGGGCCGGCCCAGTGGCGCACTGGATAGTGCGCCGCTTGGGAAGCGCGGTGGCGCTCCCGTCCGAGGGTTCGGATCCCATATGCAGACCGGTTCCCACTCACTGGCTGAGCGAGGCGCGGGAGCAACGCCGAGGCTTGCGATCCCGTTGCCGGTCCCCGGTCCGGTACGGGGGCAACACTGAGGGTTGCGATCCGTTGCCGGACACGGAAAAAAAGACAAAAGACAAAAAAAAAAAAAAAAAAAAAAAAAAAAAAAAAAA